GAATTAATTAATTCTATTTTGCGAGTATGAGTTGGGATTTCCTTTCGATCGGGTGGGCGTCATGGAAAGGTATAGTACAGAAGGAGTAATTAACAAAGCCCCATTATTGAGAGAGCTTTTTCTAGGGTCAAACCCTAGGACATCGACATACCTTTTGAGCTGGCTTAGCTATTGGGAGTAGTACGTTCCATTAGAAAATTCAACACCATGCATGATTAGCCTAATCTAATTACCCACCGATCGATCTGATGCAAATTAATTGACGGTGTTATCCGTATGATATGAGCAGATGGGCGGCGTGGCAGGGGACCAGTCGTCGGCGCAGGAGGACAGGTGGGTCATCTGCAGGTTGTTCAAGAAGAAAACATCGCCGTGCAGCACCTAGCTGGCCAGAACGGCGGCAGTGGTGCCGCGGCGTCCAACAACCTGGTCGGCGCCGGTGCCATGGCGCGCAGCCGGCGCAACTGCTCGTCGACGGTGGCCACCGCCAGCGACCACGCCAAGGCTACCCAGATACAGCAGCATTACTCCGCCAGCGACGACGCGCTTGACCATATTCTCAACCAGTACATGACGCCGTGCAAGCAGGAGACCACCAATCCATCATCGTCAGCGCTGGACCACCTGATCGACGGCGCGGGCCACAACGGCAGCAGCACCCTATACGAGAAGTTCATGAAGCTCCCGCCGCTCGAGCACGTCCTTCCCGGCGGACTCCTGCCGCCGCCGACCGAGTACAGCGGCGACTGGGACGCCCTTGACCGGCTCGTGGAGTACGAGCTCAACGGCCTGTCCGACGCCCCGTCGGCCAAGACGACGAATGGCATGCCCTTCATCGTCGACGAACTCAGCGGCGCCACGCCCTACTCCGGTGGTGGCACGCTACACGTTTCCTCGATCACAGGCGCCAGCGACGGCGACCTGTGGAGCCTAGCGCGGTCGGTGTCATCGCTACACGCCGACTTGAGGATAAACTCCTTTAACGTTGTCGGATGCTGACACTGCTTAGCCCAAACTTTCTTTTTGCACAAGGACATTATTATATATATGGAGTTAATATAATTGCAAGGAACGAATATTCAAGTTTGGAATAACAAGATGTACACAGTCAATATGTCAAAAATAAAAAGAAAGGAAAATTAGCTGTTTTACAGATATGAATACAAAGTACTAGTAGTAGATAAACAACCTAACACGGAGGAGGTTCTATCCAAAGACTACACCGTCATCAATGATTGCAGAATGCCGATGTAAAATCCAGCAGACCCTCTTGGTCTCGCGGCTAGTCAGATGATCTAGAAGGTAAGCACCGAGCAATATTTACACATGTCAGGGTTTCTCTCTGGAGATAAAACCCTACTGATGTTCGATTATATTTATGGATGGGGTGTACAAGGTAAAGGATGATCGTAGGTGTATCAAGGGGGTGAAGCTATGATAATGTGCTGATTTGACCCAAGGCAATTATTATGGAAATGCAAATTTCTTCTGCCGAAACTCAGTTCATAAGTAATCAGTGATATGTGTGTGGTGAAACCTGGCACGCGACTAGCATGAATATTATGAAGATGGAATTTATATGGATTTCCACCGTGGCAAGAAGGAACAGCCTCCCTATCGTGCTAGTTGGGGGTAAACCTTCCTTACTGAAACTTGAATAGAATAGAAGTTTGTTATGCCTGTGTTAACATGTGGTTTCTAAACGGTGGAAGCACTGAGGTTTGATCATTAACAAGGTGGAGCAACATTTCATTAAGTGGATGGAACTACGCCTGTTAAAGCCTGGTCTTAGCTTGCATAGTAAATGATCTCTTTTTGGTTGTGTCAACATCAGATCTTTAGGGAAGGCACTTCCTCCCAGTTAGTGCCAAGGGGTGATTTGATTTGGTGTTGAAAACTGCATGCTTCCTCATCGTGAAAGGGCCATGCATGTTGCTGAAGTTAACCAATTTTATTACTCCTCGTGGTGGTGCGGGCACTCGGTCGTCACTACCGGTTGCCGGCTTGGTCATACATGCTACATACACGGACAACTGGTTATCCTGGTATGGGCTCTCCTTTCACCTTTTCTGTTAAAGCTAGCATGCTACTGCTTAGCTCGGGTAAGATCGCATGCATCTTCGTCATGAATGACTTTGGTGACCAGTCACAATCTGATTCCTAGATGATGTTGCCTTGATCTACACTTGTTGCCATGTTCCCAAATCCTGTTCACCTGCATCCGCGGTTGGAGTTGGAAATTCTTGTGCGTTGTGATGGAAGCTGCGACCACTTTGCTTGCTCCTCTCAAGCTTGATGCCCACTACACAAACCAAAGGCTTTCCTCCTCCCGGCCCCCGCGTCGTCCCCTTGGGCGACTCAGGGGCGACTAGGGTTCCGCCGCCGCCGCCACCCCCCTCC